GCATGGGGGTGTAGACTTGATTGATGTCAATGTGTCGGTTGACCGAGTTTTCCGATGAATGCCAAGCTTCCAGAAATTCTCTTGCGTACTTGGCGCGCGCCTGATCGACGACTTTGATGTTTTCGAAATCGAAGTTATGTCCTTCTCGGTCCTCGTGGATTGAGATGAGTGAGAGCGCATCGTGTCTTCTGACGGCCAGTTTGTGTTCGTGCACACGAGTTGCTAGTTTTCTACCTGTTTGACCGATGTAGTACTTGTTGCAGTCCTTACAGTTGATGCGGTAGATCACATTTGTTCGATTTTTGTCTTCCTGTTGCTTCCAAGCTAGGCGGCTCCCAGAAATTTTGTACAAGCACCAACTTCGGTTTTTACACTTGATGGCCTTGTCTATGGCCGCTCGCCACCAGATCCCTTTGGTTGGGTGCCGTCTGGGTCTCAACGGCGGGGATTCGTCTCGGATTATGTGCAGCGATTTCTTAATTACTCCCCAAAGCCCTTCGATACTGAATAATTCGTCGTCCCAGACTAGTTGGGTCGCTCTGCTACGGAGATCTACGTTGATGGCTCCAAAGGTTCTAGCCATTTTAGTGGTAGCTTTCGGATGCTGAATGCAGAATGTACGTCTCGTGCATACATGATCACTCCTACCCAACGGTGGGAGTAACTTCAAATCTGTGACATCCGCAGGGTGCTTTGTAATCACCAGATGCAGTAGTGAGGGAAGGTAGCCCGTTCTGTATCTGGTGCTTTTTTCACATTTTGCCTTATTGCCTTTTCATGAAGCTACTCCAGGAATGCCTTTTTCTATGTTCCTAATGGGCTCGTTCTAAGCTCCCAATCTATATATGGTATATTGAAATCCACTATAAGAGTTTTGCTGGGATCCTTCACTAGGTCTGTGAGGACTCGAACTAGGGGACCGGTAAATGCATGTCACGTTAACCTTACTCTTCGGAAGGATCAGTGTGACAGTGCATACTTGGAGATTCCTGGTGCATACCCTGACCTGGGATTCAAGGTGGCTTATGCCCTCCCTGATGAAGACGGTTACTCTCCCTCCCAGACAGTCAGGCTCTCTATCCTGTCTGTAAATTGCAAAGCGCTCTTGAAAGACTCGGGGTACGTGGTCATTTCTAGATAACCAAGTTTCGGTGACCGCAACTACCCCTGCGCCGCATTTACCGGCCATCTTAAAGAGTTCCATCCATTTGTTACGTATGCTGCACGTATTGGTGTATAACCACTTCTTCCGTTCTCCGTCCCTCGTTTCCTATAATACGTAGCTTTTCCGATGCCTCGGGAACTAAACCCGAGGGGACGCCGAGCTTTTTTGCAATCGAAGGCGTTGTTGACTGGGACCTCTGACGGACTGAGGCATCTAAGTCTCTTCTAATGGGGGTTGCTAGAACTATACCCCTCAATGCTTTGTTGTTGTTTCCAATCAAGTCGTCGTTTGGTTGGTAACAGCTTACCTAGGTATGATCCTCCAGTAAGTCTTCTAATAACAACTACTCCTTTCGGAGCGGTCGTGACCGGTTGGCGCTCCACGGGTTGTGAAATTCGTCCAGGCAAACCAACCATCCTTCATTGGGTCCCGCTGTCTTTACGACCTAGAGGATTGTTTTCGTTTCCTAGTCTGGGTTTTCTGGGAATGGTCCTCGATGCCATACCTTCCCTTCGTTATTCGGGTTATTGATACTGCCTTGGCTAACACTTTGTCCCTAACGGCCTCACCATAAAACAAGACCAAGATTGGCCGCACCATAGGCGTCCCGGATTTCGCGATCTGGGGTTTCCATACGCCAACTCGGTGAGCCCGTTCCAGAGACACGGTGAGTAGGACCCCTGCTATTTGCAGTACGTAGAACACTCGCCGTCCATCTATTTCACTTCGGGCTTTAGACTCCCTAATGAGGTTCGTCCCGATTTATAATCAGGAGTCTACGAGCGACAATCCTTTCCATGTTATCAATTTCTTTCGAGGACCCTTACCTTGCTGCTTGGGCACCTCCTGGCTTCCTTCTTCTATCCACACCCGCCCCTGGAGAGGCCACT